TATTGAGATTTTTTTTAAACCCAGTAATACTCTGATATTCATTTCATTTCGATATATCTTAATATGTTTAAAATTTAAATTACATTTTAAAAAAGTAGGTGAAGGAAATAGAGTTAATTAGAATCCATCATAAACTATTATAAAAGTCTTAAAATTAAGCTATAAACATACAATTTATACAACAAACAAAATCCTGAGCCCAATAAAAATGTCAACCATAATTATTGGACGCTTTGGTCTTTCCGAAATGATCGAGAAATGCTTTTACAACGCCACCAATCACTACTAATTAACATGACTAAAATCAGAGGACCCAATTTTAAGCCTTTTAACAATCCATTGTTATCAAATAAAGTACTGTCAGGGATGAAAATTTTATGCACTTAATTATATCGATGAATGGCGATGATTATCGATACAGAAAATAGTTTGCACATTGTTGTTGTTCCCCGTCTCGCCTGTCAATCAAACAAGATCGATTGGCTAGTTATGTGCAAACTGTTGTTAACCCCAGATTAACGCACTGCGATAATCTATCCAATGACAACACCAGCACGCACACACGGACACTCTCGTCCCAAATTTAAATCAGATTACTTTTTAATCGTTGTGTTTTGTGACGTGCCACATCATTTATACATCTGTCGCTGTTTGTAGTGATAAATGACAAAACTTTGCGAATAGAGCTAATTTATACATTTTTTATAAGCGTATGTGATATTATATAGGTTAAACATTTTATTTATCTACGCGAATTCAGTTATAATAGCCGACAAATGGCCAAAATTAATGAATGTGTAATATGTGTAGGTTAGAAATACAATAGAACAACCTATTTGTTCGTCTCATACCGACTGACTCGCTCACAATATGCACTGAAATGAAGTGCTGTACTTACCGTGGACCTTAGTGAATTGTATTGCAGTGATCCTCTGTTACGACCTCTTGACATCCTGCAATCACTCGTGGCAGACATCTCGAGTCGATATCGTATATCGAACACTCGAGAGCAAGTATCGAGTGAGAGTCGAGAGGCCTCGTAATGTGAACTAACGCACACTTGATCGTCCGCCTGCCGAAGACCGAAATTCGATTAATGTTTGAGCCCGCCGCTACTCACTCCGTTTCAAGTTCGCTACGACTAATCGAATCTCAATTCGACACAGCCCGAAACGTATTTCTCGAGTTCATGTCGACTGTTTGCAATGCACCTGTAACTAGATACTTATCCTGAACTTATTTAAAACAATTGAACTATTTAAAGGAATATAATTATGATATTCACGATTTCGTTCCAAAAAATCTTGCATGATTATATTAAAGAACACTCGTCACCGTATCCGACAACGTTGAAGGGATCACAATGCAGCCAATTATTCTGTTCTATTGTCATACAAATAAACTTCAACCTTTACCAAAAATGGAAGATAACCAAACTGACACAAGCGTATGCGAATTGAATCTGAATACAATGTCAGCATAACTAAAGAGTTTGACTTTAGACTAAAACGACTGTCCAATGTAGTATGACCCACCATATTCTGCATTCCATCTTAGTTATAGGGCAGAAAAGGGTCAGAGGTAAGCAACGTCGGGGTCTGGACTAAATGGGTAGCTAATATCATTGGGTTGTTCCGCGCCAGCGCTTGAGTGACAGTCCCCTGTGCAAGGCAGAGACTGAAATTGTTTGTAGAAGCGCATTGCGGAGAGTCGGCCCATCAACTATAAACATTGCTTTCGTGAGCAATACTTGCAAATTTCACGTTTTTTTATTGTCATTATTTTTTTTTTGGTGAAATGTTCTGTTATCCAAATTACGTCATTGCTGAATTTTAAGTAAGTAGCTAAAGATGTCGTAAACATAAAGATCTGTGATTGTTTAAGTAGTTTCGTAAACAACTATAATAAATTACAAAAGGTTGATAACCTATCAGCTAAATACACTGATAGCTACTTTAAATCAGTGCGATTAAGCGATATAATTCTACTCTTACTTTAATTACGTATTTTTTATAAGGTATAAAAAGTTTATATCATTGCCATTAGTTGGATTTTCCCTCACGATGAAGTTCCTAGTTGCACTTTTTGTTTTTGGCGCAATCGTTCACGCTGAAGATGTCCAGTTTTCTGAACAGAATTCTGCTTATGGGTACATACAGAACATAGGAATACCAGAAGCTGAGAGAATTCGGAAGGCTGAGGAATTAGGAGCATCAAGGATTATTGGAGGTGTGCCAGCTGCTCTTGGACAATACCCGTTCCAGGTTTGTCTTTATCATTGTGTACATTTCTAATAGTAAACTGTCTTCGCCTATGGCATTGTGTTTAGCGTATCGCTTGGGTTATTCCCCAGAGCTATTAGCACACTAATGCTGAGTTGTCAGGTAATAGGCACTTATGTAGATAGCGATGAGTATGGCGTCTAAGGATGAATGAATAATAATATGTTTACTTTCTTTCTTTGTTATAATATCAGCGTATTAATATTGATGGCATCATACATATGACATACACATAATAGTTATGAAATAAATGAAGTGTTAACTAGAATAATCACTAAGATATGCGTCATAATTATGATACATAAAATCTAGAAGATGCGTAAAGTATGTATTATTAACAAGAATTTTTACTAACAGGCTGGAATTCTTGGTGACGTCACAGTTGCGGGTAACCCAGCCACCAGCGTTTGTGGTGGATCCCTTATATCAGCCAGTCGGGTTCTTACAGCAGCTCACTGCTGGTTTGACGGTCAAGTACAAGCATGGCGACTAACAGTAGTCCTCGGTTCCGTTCTTCTGTTCAGCGGTGGTACCAGAATACAGACCAGTGCAGTTGCTACGCATCCCAATTTTAGTCCCTCTCTAGCACGTAATGATGTTGCTGTTGTTTATTTCTCTGGTTCTGTATCTCTGTCAGGTAAGTGAAACGATTTTGTAAGATTTTTGATGAACAGAATTAAATAAAAAGGAAACTTTTTTCTATCATAACTTTTTGGAAACGTTAACACTAAGTACTCGTAAAGTCTTACACCATTTTGATTATTTATTGCATCCATGTAGCTATTGTGTTTATTACATTGAAATAAGATTTATATTTCTTTACAGCCAATATTGCACCGGTAGCCTTACCTAGCGGATCTCAACTGTTTGAAGCCTTTGTGGGAGAAAGAGCTATAGCTGTTGGGTTTGGAATTACCACCAATGGTGAGTAATGTCAATGAAATGTTTCCAAACTGCCTATACAATGATATTGGGCTTAGTATTATTAGACATTCTAGTTATGAAAAGTTTGATAAATTTTGTAGTAGGTATACCTAATTACTAATATCAGTTCCGCATTAAAAATAATAAGGAAGGCTTATAGACAACAACAGATAATAGCATGTTTTAATCATTTGTTAAATTTCATTATCATCATCAGCCATTCATCCACTGCTGACCTCTCCATTTGGAGAGGCCTTGTTAAAATTCAATCTTAATTTCAGATGGTAGCATTGGCTCAAATCAGAATCTGAACCACGTCAGTTTGAGTGTCATCTCAAACAGCGAGTGCAACTGGGCCTTCCCTCTCGTCTTGCAATCTTCTAATATCTGCACAAGTGGACTCGGTTCTGTAGGAATTTGTGGAGGTGATAGCGGTGGACCTCTTGTTATCACCAGGGATAACAGACACGTATTGGTATGAATAAATTATTTTCTAACTAGGACCAATAGATTTATGGTGCTCAAATAACAACTATTGCCTATTGACAATTATATTGTATGGCTTGAGATACCATACCCACTCTGTATGTAGAATTGGAACTCAACGTAAAATTCAAAAAGGGGCTTTGCATCTTAGCTTTCCGTTTCTCTGAATAAATGGCGTAGGATATTTCGGTCTGACGTCATTATAATTAATTGTTTTAATATTTTCATTTATTTGCAGATCGGAGTTACATCGTTCCGCCACGGACTTGGCTGTGACAGTAACATGCCAAGTGCATATGCACGTGTTACTTCGTTCATGGATTTCATCAACAGTCACATTTAAAAATAAACAAAACATAAATAAAAACGTTTATAAGATTACAATCAAATAAAGTGAAAACCAGTATGTTTATGGGTTTTATTGAATTTCGAAACTTGATTCAAATATGTTCTGTGGTCTAGTATTAAACACTAGTTTCAAATGAATATACACATACGTACATAGCTATAGCTATGATTAATAACTCAAAGGTGATTAAATCAAATCTCTTTTGATAAATCTACTATTTTAATTGTATTGTACTGAATAGTAATTTAAAAAGTGGTGATGATAGTATAATTTTACGTTTACGCTAATCGATAAAAATGAGTTAAAACATAGTACTTATTTGCAAAAATCAGTAACATTTCCATTTACTGCATCAATTAGAGAACATAACATAATATCACGCTTTTTATCCCTGGAGAGGTAGGCAGAGGCGCACATTAAGGCACTTAATGCCACTGTATAATGTAACACCCACTTTTCACCATTTATGTTGTGAGTCTCATATAATAGGGGGTGAGCTTTATTCCCACATACCGGGCACAATTCCAGCCTCCGTGCTACTACTGAGATTTTTTAGAAATTCCAGTAATAGGTATATTGTCCGACCCAGGAATCAAACCCGAGAACCCATGCCCCGCTGTCACACTGGTGACCACTCGGCCAACGAAGCTGTTAATTATAAAATAATCCTATAACATTCTGTTAATAAATAATTTACATTACTGATAGAATATCTATTCAAAAAGTCAACATAACAATTTACTTAGTAGGTACAACCTCAATAGTTTTTTTTAATAAAACACAAAGACGAACTGAATACTTGGCCGATAAATATCTGATAAATATTAGTATTTGTAAATATCGGTGAAGATATTTCAATAGATAGATAAAATATTATCAAGTATTCTGAAGAGAGAACAAGTACTGTTTATTCATATATTTTTTGAAATTGTAATCTATGACTATTTAAAAGACAATCTTAAGTGATTTCAATTGTATAGAGTAGTTGCTGTGAATTCGAACGTATCTGTGAAAATCGATTTGAAAGGTAATATTTAATTTATGTGAACATTTTTTTGAGGTTAAGTTTATATTTTATCTGTATCTTTATCGTCATTTATTTATCTTAGAATTCATGACGCTCGTTTCTCGAACATTTTTAAGGAGTGTTCCACCGATGTAATTGAGATATAATTTTAAACGCGTTATTGTATTTTCTAGAAGTCATTTTAAACACAAAATGTGAGTTCATTTATGTTAAGTTATTAATCGCCGTACTAGGTAACCACTGACTTCAGTAACAACCCTTGCAATTTTTATTTTCTAAATGAAAATACGAAATCGTTACTTAGGCTGATTGTAGTCTCACGCTGATCGTTAGTGCTCATCAATAGCTCAGCGTGTAGTTTGACAGACGACAACCAAACCATAGATTTATCTGTCAGCGCTGAGAGACACGTGAGCGTTCGTTATTCTAAAACGCTTTACAGAAGTTCATATGTTTCGGCTGTAAGCACCGACGATTAGCTTTCCAACAGCGCGAGTCTAAACTGAGCCTAAAGTATAGCTTAAGTTATCATGGATTTTATTGTCTCTGAGTACACCAGATAGACGTCACTGAAAATCACTCCGGGAACAAACGCATTGTGGCAGATTGAGTCAAAATAAAATATATTATTATTATGCCGGTAAAGTGGATGGTGGTCTAAAAACCAAAATTTCGGATACATTCTACTGTGTAATCTTTAATTAGACTATCGGACGATTTTTCGTCCAGATACAATACAATATGACGTTGCAACGGATACGATAAGTATCTACATTGGGTTGCCAAGACACCCATTTTTTTAGGTATTAGTTGTACTTATTAAGATAAAGCATTCTGCATTATCATTGTAAAATTCAATGCACACTACGTCAGGGCGTAAAAACCAGAAAAGTACAATATAATTTTTCTATGAAAAAAAGGAAATAGTTCGTAATTTGAGTATGGGTGTTTTCATTTCAATTGTATTTAACCAATATTTGGTGTATTATAAAAAAAAGTAAGTCCTAGCCCAACAGTTTTACTATATAAGTTTTAAATTTAACTTAGCTTAAATTTTTCGCGCGATTTGCTGGTTTTATTTCATTCAACTCATACTCGTATGAGATCAACACATCACATTTTTTATGGAATAAGCCGGTAAACAAGCAGACAGATCACCTGATGGTAAGCAATCAGCGTCACCCATGGACATCCGGAACACCAGAGACGTTACCGGCCTTTTGGAATTAGGAATTTGTTCGGGATTCAGAGAAAGGAGGGGGGGGGGTATTGGCCCTTTAGTGCTCATTCATCCTCACTCGTACGACGAAACAGAACGCAAGCGTTGTTTCACTTCGGTCTTCTGTGAGGCCGTGGTATCACTCCAGCCGAGCCGGTCCATTCGCGCCAATTACTTAGTCCTGATTCAATATTTGATATTATTTGCAATTACAATTGATCATTCTACTGATATGAAAGTGTTAACAAGGTAATAGGAAGCATACTTGGAAAAACCAAACCAACCGTATTATTTTTTAACAATTTTTACCTTTTAAGGCAAGGAAAAACCCGTTTATCGGTTCAAATCCATATCACTTTTTAATGCAGTAGCGAATGTTAATCTGAAGGTGCTCTGAGATTTCGACATGATAATTAAATACTAATCACTGAAAATGTTTGATAACTGTCGGACACATATCAAATCATTATCACCAATTAATTGCGTCAACTTGACATTTATTATCTATATTACCACTATATAATAAAAAAAGAATTTACTTTGCATCTAGTTCAGCCCGTGACCAAGATGAAAGCTTTTATTGTGGTTTGCCTGGCTTTGGCCAGTTTGGTCTCTGCGGGAGAAGTTCAGTACCCAGGTAACTCCGCATGGGGCTACTTGGTGAAGTATGGTATTCCTGAGGCTGAGAGGATCAAGGCTGCTGAGGAGAAACTCAGTCACTCCAGAATTGTTGGAGGTGTTCCCGCTGGACAAGGACAATACCCATACCAGGTTTGTTTATAATTATGTTTTTTTGTGTCCCATAAATACAAAGGCATTGCATAAATTTTATTATCTATAAAAAAAAATAGTACTCTATTTCTTTCAAGATACTTCTTGGAAGATGATTTATTGAATGACATTAAAATTAAAACTTTGCTATTCCTTAAACAATATTTTTTGTTTGTTGTAATGATGTGTTAAAAATAACATTCGGTAACCGTATTTTCAATTTCAAGGCTGGTCTTCTCATCTCCATCATCGGTTTCGATGGATCCGGTGTTTGCGGTGGTTCCCTCATCAGCGCTTCCAGGGTGGTGACTGCTGCTCACTGCTGGTTCGATGGTGTGCATCAAGCATGGAGGGTCACTGTTGTTCTTGGCTCCACAACTCTCTTCTCTGGCGGTACCAGAGTTGAGACTAGTGTGATGGCCATGCACCCGAACTGGAGTCCAGCTCTTATCCGTAATGACGTCGGTGTACTCTACTTGCCCCAAGCTGTGCAGTTGTCCGGTAAGTAATCATAAAAGCGGAATTATCTTATTCAGTTTTAAAAGTAATATTGAGTTACTTAGCTTAACAAAATTTTTAAACAAAGTCATACAAAAAATTAAAAGCATATTATAATTTATTCAGCTCTACCATTCGAAAAATATTACATAACATGTTTTACAATGTTTATATAGTTTTTGTCTTTTGCATTTCCAGCCAACATCGCACCCATTGCTATTGCCTCCGGATCCTCAGACTTTGTTGGTGCATCAGCCATCGCATCTGGTTTTGGTTTAACAAGCTCTGGTACGTATTTTAGCCACGTAGAATATTAGCCATTATACAATATCGTTAAAAAAATAATTTGTAACAGAAACTTTTAGATGTTTTATATTTCAGTTGTTATTCGTTTCTGTAGCTGATTAAAATATTTCGAATAATTGTGAATGCACGATATTTCGAAATAGGTATTATAGATATCTTGATTGCTTTTGCTCTAATGACATAACGATATGAATGAGCAAATTCAAAAACCTTAGTTACAACTCATAAGGCTAGCACATACGTTAACTTTATCAAAGTTAAAACGAAACCTATTATTAAAGGTTATTTACTGATTCTTTATTTTAATTTTAGGTGGAAGCATCAGCTCCAACCAGGTCTTGAGCCACGTTCGCCTGAATGTCATCGCCAACAGTGCCTGCAGCTTCGCCTTCCCGTTCGTTGTCCAGCCTTCCAACCTCTGCACCAGTGGTGTTGGAGGTGTTGGTACCTGCAGTGGCGACTCTGGTGGTCCTCTTGTAGCTAGCCAGAATGGACAGAATGTTTTGGTAAGTATTCCTTCCTATTTATCTTTTTTATATTATTCATGACATATTCGGTATTTTATTCATTTATTTATATATTGATTTAACACTTGGGAAACGAACAGCTATATATTTTGATTAAATATGAATGTTATATGCAATGAAAAGTCAATTATTGATGAGATTAAATATAAAAAGGAGTGTTTGAAAAAATTGGACACCTCATAGATGTGTCAGAAAATCTGTCTGGGTATACCATCTATTTCAACTACAATATCGTATCATCTTAGTACCGTTGTTTTTAGTTGAGTAGTAATCTTTTTTTTTTTATAAAATTGATTTTTAATTACCTATTATGTTTACAGATTGGTATCACCTCATTCGGATCCGCTTTCGGCTGCCAAATCAACCTGCCATCAGTCTTCGCCCGTGTTACCTCCTTCGCCAGCTTTATCAACCAGCACCGATAATGTCTTAAAAAACTTACTAATAATGTTACCACCTAAAGAAAACGTTCAATCTTTTTTACGGACGTTTACATACAATGGGATGAACAATATTTCCATATTAAATATGTATTTTAAATTCCTTCACCGTAAGGATTAAAAAGGCTGACAAACATTTTATAGTCGTTCCTGTATATAATAAAATAAAACGTTTCTACTTTTTTTTATTTCACTCGTTTTATTCTTCTCCCGTCAACTGATTTTATGAATAGACCGAGATTAGTAGTTCTTTTTTTAAGGGGGGGGGGGATCATCGAATTAGTTCTCCCGCCTCGGCGAGGCGGGACGTAGCGTCAAACTCGTACTGACTAAAAACCACCCAGTTCCGTTCTCCGCGGCTCCGTATCGGCATTAGCCCTATTGGGCCCCATCCGTGGTGGTCTGATGGCTCTTTGAAGTGCGCACGGACCCGACGCGCTATACGCTCGGGTACTGAGATTAGTAATAATATTTTGTATATCTATGTATTTGACATTTGTCTACATTAAAGATGATCACTCTAAGCTTAGCTGTTTAGTTATACTGTTTGCTAACAACCATTACAATATACATTTTTAAAATGTACCAAATAGATGCATAATACTAATCGAAACAAATTGATGCCGATAATTACCACTTTCTATCATTGGTAAAGATTTAACATACCAATATAATAACGGCCGTAATCTAGACCACTGCTGTAAAAATTCTGATAATGAGACAAAATGATGTTATATATGATTGCATGGTTGGTGCGGTGACTGAGCAATGAGCGGGTTCGATTCCCGTCCGGAACAACTCTTTGTGTGATCCACAAATTATTTGTATACGCTTATATATGTTTGTAAACGCACCCACGACTTAGTAGACCATCCTAATGTGGGGCAACGCATAAAAAATATATTTTGCCAATTTATCAATTAGATATCAGATTATCCCATCAACAGTCAACAGAAACAACTATTGAGATATAGCATAACTACCATTATACTATTATTATCCTGTACAATTCTATTTGAGAATTTAAACAATAGAAAATCTTATTAACTTTGAATCAACGAGTTGAGTAAAATTGTGGAACAAAACCTGTAATGACGACAAAATCAGCTATTCTTCTAGCTGACCAACTACGGAACTACACATTTAAATGGGACCAGGCAACAATGCTGTTTTAAATACTCTCAATCAACAGGCTACGTTTTGCCTGGCTTAGTGGAAAGACGAACCTTTCATTTAAAAGAAGCCCATAACTATGATAGTCTAGCTCTAGCAGTAGCACTGGAATGTCATGGGTTTCAATGATGGATAGTAATAAGAACAGAAAAAGTATCCATGATTGTATAACTGAATTGTACCAAGATTAATAAATAGGTTCACTAACCCATATGACTTTTATGCATTCTTTGCAGATTGTTCAAATAGAAGAAACTATTTTTTATTAGTTTGAAACATTAAACAACTGAGTGAAACATAATCATGTATAAACTGAAACTGCAGTTAACTGATACGATTGGGATAGGTACCATTCCCAACCGTCTCTTGGAAATGAATATATTTTTGTATATCTGTCGATCGTCATCGTATCAGTGACAAGACATTCACAATTGAATATAGCCCTCCCCTTGTAATTTCTAGGTAACGACTTCTATAATGGAACTTCGTTTGCTTAACAATTTATTTCATTTATTTATTTATTTGTTTTCAACCATGATTGCCCTAGAAGGGAAGGGCCTCCCTATCCTCCTTCCACATACATTTTTTTCATGCATACTTATTTTATAAAATTGAAAATGAAATTATTTTTTATTATAGTAAATACTAGCTACTTCCGCGCGGTTTCACACGCTCTGCTCAGCTCCTATTGGTCGTAGCGTGATGTTTTATAGCCTATAGCCATCCTCGATAAATGCGCTATCCAACACAAATATTATTATTCAAATCAGACTTGTAGTTACGGAGATTAGCGTGTTCAAGCAAACAAACATAAAACCAAACTTTTCCACTTTATACCTCTATAATAGTATAAGATATAAGATTTTTAACACGTAAAACGATGTACCTACATATTATAACAAAAATATGATTTACTTATGTATCTATTCCGGGGTATAGATTATTTATGATTGCTAAAAAACACGTGTTATATAGATAACTTCAAATAGTGATAATTTCACGTAGTTTATAGATTTTGTTATAAACAATGTAGGTAGTAGTAGATATTATTAGAAATAACCACTTTCTATACCAGTAAATACAAGTAAAATGATGACTTGATGAAAAATTTGATGGACCTAGCGCCGTTGTACCCAATGATATTAAAGTACGTGATTTTCAATCGTAATCAAGACACCAAAAAAGTATTTCTATGTCACTTAATTTATCCATACTAACACTAAGCTGATATTTACGTGTATAATTGAAAGAATTGTATAAAGCATAATAAATAATACGTATGTAGGTATAACTAATGATAATGTCAGATTACAATTGTGTCGCATAGTAGCAGATTAGATTAATTTAAATAGTTAATTAGGAAATCACAAACAAAGTATTAAGATAACGTTTATTTTGTATGATGTCAAATAGATTGTGAAATTAATTGGAAGACTAAATGGCATGAAACAAAAGAAATATAAAAAAGAACACAATGCGCAAAACCTTGTTTTTACACAACGCAACTAAAGTTTTGCGAATTTTGCGTCACGGGGGGCGCTGGCGTGAAAGCTACAAGTGCGCATGAAACAAAGTAGGTATGTACACACGTTCAAATGATAACATGAAACGATAAAAAATTACCAACGTGTTTTGGTTGAACTTACACGACTTACCAAGTTCTATATTTACCTATTTAATTTTAAACTAGCACGGATCCTAAACAAAAATATTATTATATTCCAAAATTATCTTTTATATACCCACTGCTTGCCTTTACGTGTATGTGCTTGATATAACCGCCACATGATTAAATGTATTTATTTCAGACAAGTAGTGCAGACTAATAGGATTCACAAACCTTTATGGTGTACCAATTTTGAGTTTTATTTAATATAATGAGTCATAATAGCAGCGGTAGTCCGTCCAGCAGTGTAGCAATATCTTCCATGACTAATTTCATTGATTCCTATTATTTTGAATTACTTTATACTATTCATTTAAACTCACTTTAACTTATTAATCTCAGATTAATTTAAGTTTTTATTTTATTAATTTAAAGTTGTATGCTCTTGTATGCTCAAGAAAGACATTTCTTGTACAACCTTTTCATGTATGTGGTGTTTACCTTTAATTGATTGTAACACTAAAATATGTATTTATTGCATGTAACCTAATATTTGATCTAGTGTGCACACTAAAAAAAAGCAGTGGACATCTGCCAGCTGTTGATTATGATGAGTAATTAGATCTTTTTTATTCAATATGAGTTTTTTTTATGTGTTTTGCGGTTGTTTCAGATAACATTATAGTTACGCGAATTGATTTTTGATTACATCAGACTCAGTGTACCTATGTGACAAAAATTAGAGGGAACTTAGTAATTATTTCGTATGCTCCTTAATTAATCAAATAACCATTAACGAAACATTCAATTCGCGAGAACTTCGCCTTATGTGATACTAATAATGACGTGATTCTTTACGTAATGGTCCAGCTTAATCTGTTAACGATTTAATATAAATACTAACTTCAATAATCTTGTTATTGCTCAGTGATTGTTTTAAGTATCACCATGAAGGTCTTCCTTGTCCTAGCTTTGGCGACTCTTGCCTACGCGAACGTAGAGCCCGCTCTTGACGGTAACACCGCGTTTGGCTACATCCAGAAATATGCCATCCCATTGGCAGAAGAGATCCGCAAAGCTGAGGAACAGATGAGCCAGCAAAGAATTGTTGGTGGATCCCCATCTAGTGAGGGTCAATTCCCCTACCAGGTTAGTGTACACTTAGTATATAAGCGTTGTGTATAATTTACCATAACTGAATTACTTTAATCTTGAATTACCTTTCCGATTTGTATTCAAAATAATCACATTTTTCTTTAAAAAAGACTGCCTTATTGGCCGAGTAGTCGCAAGAGCGACTGCCGGGCAAGGGGTCTCGGGTTTGATTCCCGGGTCAGGGAAATTATTACTGGATTTTTTAAAATCTCAGTGGCAGCACGGAGTCTGGAAATGTGCCCGGTATATTGCAATAGGCTCACCTCCTATTACATGAGACTCATAACATAGATAGTGAAAAGTGGGCGCTACATTGTACAGTGGCATTATGTGCCGTAATGTACACCTCTGCCTAGCCCTTCGGGAATAAAAGGCGCGATTTTATGTTATATATGTGTTCTTAAAAAAATGTTAAACAGATAATTTTATTAGCAAGTACTTTGTGAATTTTTTTAAAGATTACGTAACTACTACTTCCTAAAGCTTAAACAATTTATGTTTTGTAGGCTGGTCTTCTCGCTTCCTACGCTGGTATCTCTGGCACCGGTGTGTGCGGAGGTTCCCTCGTCAGTGCAAACAGAGTGATCACTGCTGCCCACTGCTGGTTTGATGGTGTGAACCAGGCTTGGCTCTTCAACGTTGTTCTTGGTTCCAACACACTCTTCTTTGGCGGCACCAGGATTGAAACTAGCGCTGTTATCCTTCACCCCAACTGGCAGCCACTACTTGCCCGCAACGACGTTGGTGTTATCTACCTACCTATCTCAGTTCAATTCTCAGGTGAGACAAACAAAAGTAATATTTTTATGTCTATACTTTGGAGAAGACAATCGAAGAGTCTTCTCCATGAATCTTGAAAAAAATGAAAAATGAATGAAAAAATCATGAATAGATATTTGACCACATAATTAAAACGTCAAACGTAATTATTATATTTCAGACTCCATCAAGCCCATTGCTCTGCCATCTGGAGATCAACTGAACAATAACTTCGTCGGTGCTACCGCTGTTGCTTCTGGTTTCGGTTTGACCCGTGACGGTAAGTTTTATGACAGTATTTTAACAAAATATTTTTTTTTCCATATTTACTAAAAGTTCTGTTGGTAACATAAAAAGTATTAAGATTTTGTGATTCGTAACATTAAGAATCCAGGCTTAAGAATCAACAAGCAGTTCAAATTTGAACAAATCAATTGATTGGATTATACGAACATAATGACTGAAGCATTACAGGTATTTAAAACTAACACGTCAATTATCTTTATAGATGGATCTATCTCAACCAACCAGTACTTGAGCCACGTTAGCTTGAACGTTATCTCCAACAACGTCTGCTCCTACGCTTTCCCCCTGATCTTGCAATCCTCTAACATCTGCACTAGCGGTCTCGGTGGTTCCAGCACCTGCAGGGGTGACTCTGGTGGCCCTCTGGCTGTTACTATTAACAACGAGCCTGTCTTGGTAAGAATGGATTTATTTTGTTTTTTTTTTCTTAAAAAAACTATTTATTTTTGATTGTACGTCTGTTTCGTGAATTAACAGGAACATTTTTGAGTGTAAAATAAGTTGGAACTCTGTTGGAAGGTCCACGGCGAATATCTATCTTCGGTGTTTTGACAAAATAATTATTCTAACTTTATGTTTTCTATCTTCAGATTGGTGTTACCTCCTTCGGATCTGCTCTTGGTTGCCAAGCTAGCTTGCCTGCAGCTTTTGCCCGTGTCACATCTTTCGTCGACTTCTTCAACCAACACATATAATTTTTTTAAACAAATATAATTTAAGTTTTTCTCAAAAATCTTTGTTTTATTGACGTCCTGTGTACATAGTATAGTTACATAATAAAAGTAGGGTTTCAATTCAACCCCACAAATAATTCGCAACTCCTCATTGCTTGAGTACTTTTGATTTGTAAATTAATAATACATTGAACGTGGTGCATTGGAAATAAAAATAGTTTAGGTACTTATTAGTATAACTACTGATTAGTACCTAAATTTGTTGCCGTGGAAAAAAAACTAAACCAATAAATTAGAATAAAACATAAACTAGAACACTTTGTATGGGATCAAAAGTCTGTAATGTAAAACTCCTGATTAGTGCAAGTCAATTATTAAACATGTTGGACCTTTATAGAAGATAATTAAAAAAAAATAGTAAGCAAAAGAGCTACTTACATAATAATAGTAAAGTCAAAGCATTTATTTCAAATAATCCTTGGTTAGGCACTTTTGAAACGTCAAATTGACTTGTTAGTAAAGCTAGAGCTCGTTCCAAAGTGAAGTTTTGAATAGAGAAGAACAAGCAAGAAGCTCCATCGTCATTATAGTAGTATTAGTTTGAGGGTCAATTTTTTCAACGCCAGCTAAATTATAACTTGAAAGATTTAACAATTCTTCTATACTAAAAACTGTCAAATGTCAATTTTATTCTACAGTTAAGTATTAACTGATGATTGAAAAATCGGCCCTAAGAAGTACTAAATTCAAATATTTAGTGACACATTTTTCCGTAACTTATTATTATTGTAATTACAATTATATCAATACTTGGGAATTACCTATACCAGTATTAATCTTGTTTATCATCGTGGAAAAACCTTTATTTAAGTAGTTCGATTAAGATATGAATTGAGTCAGAAAATCCAATTAGGTACATGTTAATTAAAATCTCTAAAATTATATCAAATTGATATTTTTTATAATTCAATATTCATAATAAATATCTTCTGACCTTTTTCCAAAACTGTAGTAAATTTAGGATAGACAGATTTAGACAGACATTCACAGTCTGTTCATGATTTGTGATTATTATGACAAATATAACAAATCATGATTTGTTATATGTGACTATACAATCATAACGAATCATGACCGTTTTCCCAATATTTCTTGAAGATTATAATTGAAACAAAAATGAAAGTTATTTTCCTTTAACAGAAGTGTCTACGAAATAACAAATTTGTACCTCAAATATAAACGGTATGCTCTAACAAATAATCTGAGAAGAAACATCGAAACAAATTCAGTCATATTTCAGTACTTCAGAACAACAGAAAATGATGTACAAAGAAAAAGATGTACTTATACATAGTATACATATAACGTGTCATCTATTGGACAGCTGTTCAAGTTTCCATGTCACAATTTTGGTTTGTAATCACTTACTACGTGATATCATACCTTATAGGTTCACCTAATTCATTTTAAAACGCTTCACACAAAATTCTACAAAGCTTGGTTGGCATTGTAGTCTTCTCTTTGTTCCACAGATGTCGCTGCTAGTAGTTAGATTTGAAAGAATTTCATGATTTGAGTACCTTCTCCGTACAATAAAATGAATTGGACTGATGGTGATGATCGCCAAAACTAAATAGTGTGCAGTAATTTTATTAGAATACGCGCTAATCCCGCACGATGTTCCCCATAGTACAGCTTACCTTTCGGCACAGCGTGATTTTTTAGCCTACAACCTTCCTCAATAAAAGCAATTTCCAACAGAAAAGAATATTCAAATCGGACCAGCAGTTCCGGAGATTAGCGCTTTTAAACAAACAGATTACTTTAGTTTTATAATATGTTAGTAAAATATCTAGATTTAAAAAAAAACATATATACGGTCGAATTGAGAACCTCCTCCTTTTTTTGAAGTCAGTTAAAAATAACGATACTCTCATTAATTAGTTCAAGATTAGCAAAGAAAAATAATTGACATCACAATTTCAGATCTTGTACAACATTGATGTTTTAAAACAATAGTTTCTGATAATATTCGATATAATCATAATTACTTATCTGACATTTTTTTCCTGGTTTTTTGTTTAAGGGGAAAATCATCGAATAACTTCTCCTGCCTAAGCGAGGCGAGAAGGAATGTCAGACTCTTACTGACTAAAAACCACCCCGTTCCTGTTCCAGTCCTCCGCGGCTCCATTTCGGGCCCCATCTGTGGTGTTGTAATGGCTCTTTGAGGCGTGCGAAACGCGGCGCACTGTACGCGCAGGTCAGATTCTGGTCGGCGGCGAACTACCCATGCTCGCCGTTCGCAGACTCCTGGTTACGGTGTCTGGAGATCGCTCGATCCCTGTGAGGAGGCAGCACGAGCGCTTTGCTGCCTCAAGCGCCCCGCCTCCTCTTTAGCTAGCATGACTGCTTCGCTTTTTCGTGGGATAAGTCGATAAACATGCAGACAGATCACCTTATGGTAAGCAATCGGCGCCGTCCATGAACACCCGAAACACTAGCGGCGTTACAAATGCGTTATCGGCCATTTGGGGATTAGGAATTTGAGGATTGTTAGGGATTTGAGGATTGGGGAGATTGGGAGAGGAGCAATTTGAGCCTCCGGTAACCTCACTCACACTACAAAAAACAAGGCAAGTGTTGTTTCACGTCGGTTTCTGTGAGGCCGTTGTATCATTCGGATTCTGGAGCCGGCGCAATGACTCTCGCAAACTTTTGATTACTACACACTTTTGACTACTGGCCATCTTCCCAGATTTCACTAATTATGAAATTTGAGAATACACGATGATAATAATAATCACTGTATAACATATCGCAAGGTATACTGTGTGTGTCGCAAATGCAACTACCGGGCCTCGGGTTCGATTCCCGGGTTGGGCAAAGTTTTACTGAGTTTATAAAATCTCAATAGTAGCACGGAGTCTGGAAATGTGCCTAGTATAGGCTATAGGCTCACCCTTTATTAGATGGGATTCATAACATAAATAGTGAAAAGTGGGTGTTACATTGTAGGTACAGTAGCTTTAAGTGCCGTAATGTGCACCTTTGCCTACCCCTTCGGGGATAAAAGGCGTGATGCTATGTATGTATGTAATAATAATCACATCGTCATATTTTTTGATTTCCGAGGAAGAAGACAGGGCAGCACATCAACTTTCACTAATTATATTAAATGCCTCATGCAATAGCGGTGATTTTATGTACATATATATAACATAGGTGTATGGCACAATTTCAGTAAATATTTAAATAACTCTATACTTAATACTTCGTCGGACATAAGAATCAATACTGAGCCCCTTTCACGGTAGTCATACATGAAACCACTCAAACAATGATACAGTCAATTAGTCATTGTTTAAATGTCGAAATTCTTAAAAACACTTTACTTCTAAGTGTGAATCAAGTGGGTGAGTAAAATTCACATAGAAGTTTGCATGTGGACTAAATTCGTGATGATGTTTTGATATTTACCAAAGACCAAATGGCATCCTATTAAATATTTAAAAAATAATATTTTTAAATAGTTATGAAGTTTAAGCCCTACCCACAATCAGAATATTCTGAAATTCAAATTGTATGAATGACTGGTCAAATCTATGGATGTTGTAGCATTTCTTGGAGGTAGATTATAAAATGGTACTTACCTAGTATCTTTGTATGTCACTATCTTTGGAAATGTATTATTACAAATTATTTGTAAACAGAGGACGGATAGAATTTCTTTACTATATGAAATAACTAGCAAAGATATATTCTAATAATTTTAAAACTACCTATACGAAACACCTACTAGTACTGCGTGGACTGTTGGCGTTAACTAATGTAAAAATATGAACTTCTAGTCACCTTCAATACAAGAACAATAAATGAACTGTGATTGATAGTACATCTAGAAACTTAGACGTAGTTCCCTCTGAAAATCCAGTTCTTCTTCTTATCTTCAAACGTACTTTCCACTTAATCAATTCATTACCGTATACGTAATCGTTTTTTCCCGAGTTATGAAGTATTTATCTATAATTTAATTAATGGGTAATGGGTATTTAGGATTTGATTATCTTTTAGAATAATACTGCATGGTTGGTGCGATAGATGCCGCGCAACTTGTCGCGGGTTCGATTTCTACACGGAGTAACTTTTTGTGTGTTCCACAAATTGTTGTTTCGCGTCTGGGTGGAATGGGCATCTGAACTTGTATGTTTGTAAACGCATTCACTACATAGAAAAAAATCCTAGTGTCAAAAATTTGACAACTGACTTTTGTAGGTCTGTATGTAATATGGATGTAAATACACCTACGGCACATATGAAAATCCTAAGGTCGAGACAAATTACCCAAGGCTCAATTACCCTCCCCTTCCCCAATCTCCCCAATTCCTGAATCCCTAACGATTCTTAAACTCCTAATCCCCAAAAGGCCGGTAACGCACTTGTAACGCCACTGGTGTTCCAGGTGTGAAAAATAAATAGTATTGACGTGTGTTTTAAATATACAGAGTAGGTTATTATTACATTACAGGTATTTTTTTTAAGGGGGGAAAATCATCGAATGACTGCTCCCGCCTGGGTGAGGCAGGAGAGAGTGTCAGACTCTTACTGACTAAAAACCACCCCGTTCCTTCTCCTGCACGTCGAGCCGAAGCCCCGGTTACCCGTTAGGTTCTCCGCGACACATTACAGGTATACCTTGACATCAATGTGGTGTGGCAAGGTACGAATAATATTAAAATTTCTAATATACATGGTAATTACATTTTACATAATATATGTTGATAGGATAATAAGAACAGAAAAAAAACGTTTATTTAAACAGGTTTCATGCTATGATTTATGAAGTAAGAAAAAAACCAACCACCTATGTAGTAATCGACAATGTGTTGATATACCGATAAATAGTTAAAATTTTAATAAAACTACAGTATTAATATTTTTCAGGTAATTCAAACAAACCTTCGTAAAACGGTTTGTTTACATTGAATAGATAATAATAAAAAAAGAAACAGTTAATGACAAACCCAAGATAAGGATCACATCTTGTGGGGACTATTAACTTTTATCAGAAAATAATCGCTTGCTAATGATAAAACATCGTATAAATATGTTACGGATTTATCATTTGGGATCATAGAACAGTTGGTAATAGATTGCAATACAATGAAGGTCCTATTTGTTCTCGCTTTGGCAACTTTTGCCTATGCTAACGCTGAGTCTAACACTCAAGCTCATACATTTGGGTACATAAAGAAATATGCCATCCCATTGGCTGAAGAAATTCGTAAGGTAGAGGAGCAGGCTCTAAGCCAAACCAGTGGCAGCAGAATTGTTGGTGGCAGCCCTTCAGCCCTCGGCGCTTTCCCTTACCAGGTATGGTGAATGGTCATAAAACATTGAGCTTTTATTTAAATACGTAGTTAAAACCTTGTTTAAAGAGCTTTTTCAAGAAGTCCCACCTAGAGGTTAAATATCAGTTAAATCTTCGAAGCGGGGAAAATATTAGTATGGTGAAGTTTACATTGTGACAGAATTTCGTATTCTGGGATTGTTTTTAATCTTAATTTATATACCTTTTTCTTTGTCTAGGCTGGTCTCCTTGCTTCCTATTTTGGAATAGATGGTACTGGTGTTTGTGGAGGCTCCCTTGTCAGTGCCAATAGAGTCCTTACCGCTGCTCACTGCTGGTACGATGGTCAAGTCCAAGCATTCATGTTTACGGTCGTCCTTGGCTCCACAACCCTCTTTACTGGAGGAACTAGGATCGCCACCAGCGCTGTAGTTATGCATCCCAACTGGAACCCATTTATCGCACGCAATGATGTCGCTGTGGTCTATCTACCCACTAACGTTGCTACCTCAAGTTAGTAAATGAAGATTTCGATTTCAAATTTTAGTTTATATAAAAGAAAAATACCTTTTCTAGATACAAGAACACATTACACTACCCGAGTATAATGTATGAAAATTTAATAACACATTTATTTTCCAGACATAATCTCACCTGTCGCTCTGCCTTCTGGGTCTCAACTGAATGAAGACTTTGTTGGAGAAACTGCAATTGCCTCTGGTTTCGGCAAAATTGGCGACAGTGAGTACATATTATTTTAAAGTGTTTCTTCATCACAGACCACAAAATTAAAAAGTGTGTAGTCTACACTTTGAGTTGAGACAATCTAAAGAGGCAAGAAGGACTAAGAAATATACATTAGTTTATCCTTTATTATCTACTGAGTTTGTTTAAACTGGTATCTTACAGTTCGTACTTTTATACAATAAAGTGTACCTTATAAACTTATTTTTTCAGACATCAACATTACAGCCAGCCAAGTTTTGAGCCACGTTAGCTTAAGCATCATCACCAACTCTGTCTGCCGTTACGCCTTCCCTCTGGCCCTACACTCTTCAAACATCTGCACCAGTGGTATCGGTGGTCCTGGCACATGCCAAGGAGACTCTGGTGGTCCTTTGGTGGTTAACAGGAACGGCCAGCCTCTTTTGGTACGTATTCTTATTTTGCCTATAAAAAATATTTTTTTTTTCTTTAATTGCAATATTGCCCGTGTGTTTGTGTATATAATCTTACATACGAACATAAATACACAAATACTGGATAAACAATTAACGTAAAGATTTGAGTTATCTTTTACCTGAAAAAAAAAAAAATAAAAATCTGCGCTATGCTTCTAAAAATATTTTGTAACCTTAATGTTACCCTAAAAATTTTGATATTATCCTAAACATTTTGAATCATACTAATAATGACTGTTGCTTACATTTCCAATAAGTTAGGAGATCAAATTGAAGGTTCTTACTTATATCTGTTTTTTTCATATACAGGTTGGTATCACCTCTTTTGGTTCTCCTCTTGGTTGCGAGTCCAGCATGCCCGCTGCCTATGCTCGTGTGACGTCGTTCATGGACTTTTTCAATCAACACCTTTAACACATTTGTTAATTAGTAATTGACTTGTAAATAACATGTACATAAATTATTTATAAAAAATGAAAAATAAAAATATTGCAAAATAATACTGTCTCGTTATTTTTTTAAACCGAAACATACTTATAAAATTCTGTCTACCTACTATTGTGTTGGAATATGGTAGGTCTATGATTCATATCTGGAAAAGTGCTAATATTATACAACTTTTAAATGATTTTTATTACCTTCATACTAAATGCACTGTAATACTTGACGTCGTTCATTCATAGCATAAGAGATGCCGCTACTAGTATTCTAATAGAAATTTAAACAGAATCAGTTTTTCATATTTCAAAACTTCATTTCAGTAGAGCATACAAGCGAATTATGAACATCCTAAATAACTACGTAATACCAAATCATTAAAATTAGTCCCAGAGTTTTAACTGAACTGAATTTTAAACTGTCAAACCGCAACCTATTGTTCTATAATTGTGTCTATAATAACGGTACTCGACGAGTTAATTGCGGATCATGGTAACATAATATCACTTTTCATCACAAGGTAAATAAATAGTATAAAACAAAGTCGCTATCCGCCGTTTGTCTGCCTCTATATATGCTTAGATCTTAAAAACTACACAACGGATTTTGATGCGGTTTGTTTTAATCGATAGACTGATTCTTAAGAAAGGTTAATAATACATGTATGTACTGCACCCGGCAACGCACTTGTAACGCCTCTGATGTTTTGTGTGTTTATGGGCGGCGGCTATTGCTTACCGTCTTATCCTCATAAAAAACCACCTGTAAACGTAGACATTATTATCAAACCCACTTACGTAGAGGAAGCTCATTGTTCACCAGTAGACTGTCACTGGTCTTGAGTTTGGTTACAGTGAATATCACTAGTGAGGTACGTAAGTCTCGTAGCAATTGACGTTCCATAGTTTCTATCACCCCCCATGAGAGATAGGCGTGAGGTTATGTATGTATACAGATAATTTTTTATTCTGTTTTTTTTTTTATTATTTTTGTACGTGTGTAGTGTGCAAAATTTTTGGAACGTATCCGTTCGCACAATTTTAAACAATTTAGTATTTACAACACTAATAATATCTTTATTTCGATGGTAAAACTAATAAAATAGCATAGACACAATATTTTTATCAAATTTCCGTCTTCACGATTCAGTTTAGATAAATTAATATATTGATAAAAATATTTTGTTTGAGACTAATGAAAAACCCCAATTGATAGTGGTATTAACCCTCAATCGATCTCGATTACTGACATGTTATGCGTAAAATACGTTTAATGAGTAATCAATTATTATTCAAAAGACTTCGTTTTGGCGGAAATAATTGCATACCTAGGTGCGTAGCCGAAGCGCTACGTTCGTAGCACTGTGCTACGAGCTAGCGTAGCACATGTTTTGCGTCGCTTTCCTGAGAAGTTATACATAGGTGAACTTTTTCTTTAGTTGTATTTGTGAAATTAGTTTACTTTTATCAGTATCATTGTTACTGTTACGCTAATTATCTCGTCATAAAAACTGTCATAACTAATATATGTAAAGGATAAATGCACAAAATTATGTCCAAAGTTGATATTGCTTAGTGATAACCAGTAACTGGGAATAATAAATTAAAGGACTGGTTTTAGTAGTATATCATACTTTTTAATCCCAAAAATGTATTAAATAGCCAAAGATTCACAATGTAACATGTACTTTTTGCCAGTTATGGTTACAAGTCTCTTGAAATAAGAGGTAAGCTTAGGCTTACCTCATATTACACATACTCCTACTCCTATGGAATATACATTTTTACCAGATGGTATTAGTACCATCTGGCAAAATTGTATGTTATATGCTGGTATGAACTTTTATTTTCGAAACAAAAATTTAAAACCTTGAAACCTAAGTCTTCGACGAATCAGAGGATCGGAATCAGAGACCCATTATTGGGCAATCGTGATTATGATCACTCGACCTCCAAACAGGCAGGGTAAGCACAATGTATGATTACTGCTTTCAAATGCATGATTATACTTTTAAATGTGGGAGAGCCATGCTTCGGCACGAACAGGCCGGCTCGACCGGTGTGATACCACAGCATTACAGAAAACCTATGTGAAACAACGCTTGCATTGTGTTTCGTCGTGTGAGTGAGGTAACCGGAAGCCCAATTACCAACCCCACCCTCCCCAGTCTCCCGAATCCCCGAATCCTCCAAAATCCTCAAAGTACCAATTCTCAAATGGCCAGTAACGCGTTGATGTTCCAGGTGTCCATGGGCGACGGCGATTGCTTACCATCAGGTGTTGGACTAGGTTGTCACAAATATATTTAATAAAATTATTTACAAAAAGAGGTGTAATCGAGTCAAAATGCCCAGTATTCTAATATAGCATTTGGTGCTTAAGTTAAGTAGATTATAAACAAAAACCATGTCTTATCCTTATCCATATGACACATTTGTTTAAAACTATGATAATAAGTACTTTGCACTTTAGATGTGTGTTTTATAATAACTATCGTGAGTCATACTAAATTAACTAAAAATGACGAGTCACTTACGTAAGTACACTGAAAAAAGCTCTTCTAGTTTCGAGACATAGAGGGACACTGCCTTATCAGCAGGAGCTCTACGTGCTTGAAAATTGGCACGATATTCAGTGGTAATAATGTAACTTGCAATGAGGACTTTGTTTCATTAAGAGTTCTAGATGACAGTAGCCAATGGTGCAACGTATTGCAGGTTCGATTTCAGCAACAGAAGAATGATTTTTGTATGTGCTATAGGTATGGTGAGTACCTGGACATCAAAACAACGTGTACTTTGCTCGACCCTGTGGGGATATGAACCACTCCATTCATATCAGTGTTTTCTTATCATTCAATTTGATATAAATGAGCTAGAATAATTTGTACTCATACGATTATAGTGCAGTTATTATCAATTTATAATTCGTTATTTTAAGTATTTATCGCAACATTAATTTCATAAATCATTTTTAACAAACTAATTAATATTTTTTTTCCATTTAAACAGCTTAAGCATATTTTTCAATTTGATTCCATGTAATTATGTAAATTATTATGTTTTCGGCTTACTCGCCTAATAGTTTGACAAGGAACTTGACTAGTTTCATGAGCAGCATTTCGCGACCCGAGACGCGACGAATATGAGCCTCTAGCATGGCTTGAAACTAGTCGAGTTCTTCGTCAAATTCTTATGTGAGTAAGCCGAAAACATAATAATTTATTTAGTATGTCTCACGAAAGTTACAATAAAAACATGTATATGTAGTTATAAATATCTGTTTTCGAAAAAAACATGTCGTGTATAATGCCGATGGTGTCTAATTAATCTTAGAAAGTATATAATAACTCAGAAAAAGTCACATTGGTATTTGCCGTTGGTAAAATTTGAACGCGCCCTCATGCATGAGAAGCGGGCGTCTTTAAGCCTCCGGATCAATAAATTATAACAGCAGGTATCAATGAATTTGGTTCTCTTTTAAAATCAATGTTGACTCTATATTGGACAGTTGTCCATTGGACAGTTACAGTTGAAGAACCATCAGAATCCATTGTTGTTACTTCCAAAATATGTTATTTTTGACACCGTGATTATTTTGACCTGTTCTACCGGTTTGTCTATCAACATGTATCCAAGATGGCTTCTAATATTATTTTCATTACCAGCAAGAATAAATAATTATTTTATGTAAACTTATCGTGATACCATTACCAATACATAATTTGCTGGTCTCAGAGTTCACGGAATAATAATCTCAAGATATGTAGCGATTAACTGATCATATCTTGAAAAATAAGTATATAAATAAAAACTGTAATTAAAGTACACATTTATGTTTTGATATCAGGAAAATGAAACTTCTGGCTGTGGCGTTATTGGCTCTGGTAGCGGTCTCCGCTGCTAGGAACATCGATTTTGAAAATGTGATCGATCTAGAAGCCAACTCAGTATTTGGTTACCATGAAAAAATTGGTGCTCCATTGGCCGAAAAGATCCGTGTAGCTGAGGAAGAAGCTGCACTTAACCCGTCTAGGATTGTGGGAGGTTCTGCAGCTCAGCTCGGTCAATTTCCCTACCAGGTAAGCACTTTATTAAACGTTTGTATAAAAATATATGTCATCTTAGTTTTGCAGTAACTATTGTTACGCCCAAAGTTTGAGATTTACACTCTAACAATAAAACATTATTTTACAGGCTGGTCTCATAATTATTTTGCCACTCTGGACCAGCGCTTGCGGTGGTTCTTTATTAAATACAAGGAAAGTGATTACTGCTGCTCACTGCTGGTTTGACGGTCAATATCAGGCCAGAAGTTTCACCGTTGTCCTTGGTTCAATCACTCTCTACAGCGGTGGTGTAAGAGTGTCTTCCTCCAATGTTGTTATGCATCCAAACTGGACACCAAGCCTTGTTCGAAATGACATTGCCATGATCACTTTGTTATCTGCTGTGTCAACCTCAAGTGAGTATTTAAAAATTGATAAGGCACCATATTTTGTATGAAATTGCAATTCTACATTTTAGAGAAAATTCTGTTAATTGAGTAAGTAAATAATAAAATGTATGATTATCGCTACTCAAGGTTATTACCTAAAGTGGAACACAAGATAAGATGAAACGTTATCAATAATTATAATACTTTTACAAAAAGCAAATATTCGACGTGGGACAAAACTTATAAATTAATCATAAATTATTGTTTTGTATTTTAAATAACAAAACGTTTATCTTGTTTACAGACAACCTTGCTCCGATCGCTCTGCCATCTGGCAATGAACTCAACAACCAGTTCGCCGGCTTTACTGCTACAGCGTCTGGCTTCGGTTACACTAGAGACGGTAAGGAAGTGATCAGTATATAAACTATTACATTTAAATATTCTAATAATTTTAATTGAATAAAATAAATCTCAAAGATGTGTACAGTTTGCCATGTACTCACAATACTTACTACTACTGTAATAAATATTAAGTCATGATTCACAATGATCTGTACCACCAATAATAAATCATTACATGTAAGTGCACGCACGAATTACGGTAGAAAGACT